AATATATATATATATATATATATAATATGCTTACATAAATGGTTTTGAATACTAATGGAAGATGTTTTATAATTTTCTTCATGCTTTAGTTCATTTTTATTTTTTTAGATTTTTAAAAAATTATAATATCATGACATAGATTTTATCTAGTTGGATTTTTCATTTGTGTAATAGTCTTACTTTTTTTTGGAGTCTCCTATTTTCCTAACTTCAATAATATAATGGTTGTTTATTGGTATAATCAATAAATCCACCGATTTTTCTTCCAAAAAAAATAAATTAATTAAATAAGACCACTTCACTTTGGCCTAAAAATAAATAACTTTTTACAATTAGTTTCATCTCATTATAACATATTTTTTTTTGTTTTAATTCTAAATCCATCAATTAAAAATTATTTAATTAAATGTCCTCTTTGTTACATGTTTATTTTTATATATATATTGTTATACTAAAAATATTAAAAGTTTTAATTAAAATTAAAAATTTTAGCTAAAAATAAAATGAAATGGGAAATTTGTAGAGTTACAGTTTTGTCCGATTATATGGGCAGTATGGTAAAATGGTTAATACGAACCTCGCCGTTTGTTTTCTATCCAGTCACCCATTCCCTCTATCCATTATCTGACCCTCCCGCCACACGGTTCACACACAGCTCTCTACTCTCTTTCGTCCTCCTCCTCGACTGCACCCAGCAGCTCTCTATGTCCGTTCACTCGCCACTCACGGCAAGCTAAGTACTGAAACTGAGTTGAGGTACTTTCATTTCTTTATATTCCATATATTAGCAAAGTTGCAATGGCTGGTTTTTTTGGTATCATTTTGGTGAGATGAGAAAATTTTTGGAGATGAAAATGCGTGAATTGAGCTCTTTGAACTTCGAAACGAGCGGGATTCGGAAAACCAGAGTCCAACTTCATTGTTCTATCCTGCATAATGTAACACAATCAGGATTGATTGAATTAACTTTTTCAATGAGAGAAAACTTAGAGCTATGGTATTGTTTAAATTTGCTTTCTCTTCAGTTTCCGCTATCAAAGGAAATTGAAACTGATCACTAAGTCCTATTGTTGCTGGAATGAAATGGAGAATTGGAAGTTTCTTTCTTGCTAAATTTTATGATCCTGGAGTTGGAGTAGAGAAATAAATAAATAAAACCTAGGAGTGGAGTCCTTATCTCTTGTCAATTTTAATAGTTTGCCGTAATTATTAAATAGATGGTGATTCTTTAAAAGTATATTTCAGCAACAAAAGCTTAAGATTGATAAAAATCGAAACTGAACTTTTTTTTTTTTCTTTTTTCATTTCACTCATAGCAAGAATTCGTTATCCTTACTTAGTATCAGTGCTCCAAAACTATTCTTTTTTAGCAGTTGACTAGCATCAGCATGAATAGATTCTATCGTTCTTGGCAATATCTAGTTAATGTCCCAGAGTTTGCTTGTCTTATAAGTACTTGGGAACTCTGGCCTGCTTGGTAATTTAATATTTCATCCTTAAAATAAATATGTTGTCTAAATACAATGTCTGTCAGGTGTTTTGTAGCAGTGAAAGAACATGCTAGCATAGAATAAATTATGGTGCTCTAAAAAGGAAAAGTATATGACTCAATATGTAACATATTCTTTTTCCTGTCCATTATTGTTCTATATGCTTATAAGTCAGCGATAATTCCGTTACAGTGTATTAGGTCTAGTGCTAGTGTTGCCTGTGTTTTTGTGCCCCTCTAATGGAATATGAAGGCAATTTCTGGTGCAAAGTTTTATCATAAAACTGCTACCTTATTAATGTTGTGTGTTAATAACATTTTACTTGTTGAACCAAATGACCATATCTTGCTGTAAGATATAACCAAAAAAAGACATTAGGTATGATGGTTCAATTTTAATTTTTACCCAAATATTCTGTAACCTGTTTCAGTCTCATGCAAAGTTTACATTTGTGTTTTAAACTCTCTTCAGGTGAAGATAGGAACGGCAAGCCAATTTAGGTGCTGATTATGTTTTAAAATTTTCAAGTCAACATGACACCTGTGATCCCATGTTCCATAAGCAGTGTTCCCCTCATTCCTGGAGTAACCTTTACTATCAAGAACACTTATTTGACGAGATGCAATTTTTCAAACAAACCTAGAAAGCATGAAGCATCCTCACATAGATTTTCTCTACCTCTTTCAACTTCCCTTAGATTGTTTCCACAATACAGAAGATGGTGTCCCTTAGACCAAAGATATGGAGCCAATTTATTATCAGCCACAGGTACTGATTTAGCTGTTGAGGAACCTGATTCACCTGTGGCAGATGAGGATTCTAGTGGAACCTTGGAAAATCCATCAAATGCAGCCGAAACAAGTGAGAAATCCTCTACCAACTCAGATGCTAGTCCGACAACAACTCAATCGAAGCGAACAAGACCAGGTAGGAAAAGTGAAATGCCACCTGTTAAGAATGAGGAACTAGTTGTTGGTGCAACTTATACTGGGAAAGTTCGATCAATCCAGCCATTTGGTGCTTTTGTTGATTTTGGAGCTTTCACAGATGGGCTGGTACATGTTTCCAGGTTGAGCAATAGCTTTGTAAAAGATGTTAGAAGTGTGGTTTCCATTGGACAGGAGGTGAAGGTAAGATTAGTTGAAGTGAACATGGAGACTGGGCGTATATCACTTACCATGCGTGAGAGTGATGATTCCAGCAAGGTCCAACAGCGGAAAGACGGTCCTGCTAATAGCGATAAGCAAAGGCCTACAAGAAGGAACACTTCAAAGTCCAGTCAGAGAAGGGAGGAGGTAAAAAGCTCCAAGTTTGTCAAGTGGCAGGACCTAGAGGGGACAGTGAAAAATTTAACCAGATCTGGTGCTTTTATATCCCTGCCCGAAGGGGAGGAAGGATTCCTGCCTGCATCAGAGGAGTCTGATGATGGACTTGGAAGCATGATGGGAGGTTCTTCACTGCAAGTTGGACAAGAAGTCAGTGTCCGAGTGCTACGCATCACTAGGGGACAAGTAACATTGACAATGAAGAAAGGAGAAGGTGACGAGAAATTTGATGCACAGTTTAGCCAGGGGGTTGTCCATGCTGCTACAAATCCCTTTTTGTTGGCCTTCCGGAAGAACGAGGACGTTGCTGCTTTTCTGGATGAGAGGGAGAAGGTGGCCAGAAAACCAGCAGACACAAGCACTTCAGGAGAAGCTGATGCTGGCACCAGTACTCCTGAAGTGAAGGACCAACCATTGACCATCAACGAGCAAGTGGTTGGTGAATCGTCTGCTGTGGATGAAATCGTAGAAGAAGATGAAGCTTCTTCAGAGGAGATAGATGCTGCCATCCAAACCATGGAGAAAGAGACAGAGGAGAATTCAGAAACTTCAGTTGCTGATGTGAATCTATCTACTGAGAATCAGTTAGTAGAGGTAGTAGAAGGTGATGGATTGCCCGATTCATCCCAAGGAACAGATAGCCAGGTTCTCTCTGCAGAAACTCCTAAAAGCAATGAACTTACAGAAAATCAAGTTGATGATATTGTAGTAAAAGATGAGGTGCAAGTAGAGACAGGTACTACAGATGATAAAACTATTCCTGAGGCACGGGTTGAAGAAGAAGTAGGAGCTATCTCAGACAAAAATGAGAATGTTACCAGTTCAGTGGTCCAATCAGATATTGCTTCTTCACAGGAAGGTAAAGGTGCATGGAGATAAGCTTTTTAATATTTCTGTATCTGTTTAAAACTTCCATAGTATCGCAAAAAGAAAAAATCATATCGAAAAGTTAAACTAATTTATGCAAGTAAACATAAAAGCCGAGAGTTTCTTGTCCAGAGTATATTTATATATTCATGTGCAGAGAAGAAATTAACGAAAGCAGGTTAATTCCCAATGTTTGTAGGCAAATGGGCTATTTCCCGCAATTTGGTTCCTAAAGTAAATTGTAAAAGAAACTCCACTTTTTAATTGAAGATAGTGCCATACTAAGAGCCACACTCTGGAAAATAGAAATAAATCCTTTTTCTTCTTACTTGAATTAACTACAACGGAGTTTGTTCTTAAAGTGTTGTGTCTATATGCATGTTTTTGCTGAGGCTTATGTCCACCTTTTTCACTTTTGATATGATTCATGTTTTGCTTTCTCTTTCCAGGGCATGAGATACAAGTGAGGGATAATTTGATGGACAATGTCTTATATTTGTTTATTAAGATCATTCTATCTTATCTTAATTGTTCATCTTGTGCCTGGTGTAGTGACAAGTGATGGAATATCTGATCCATCTCCAGACTCGGCTGATGATCAACTTTCACCTTCAGAAAGTCAGGTGGTTGAAGAAGCTGCAGAGACTCAAAATAACAATATTGAGGACAAAGCAGAGGCA